ACATAATCGTATTTCAAAAATGTAAACTAGCCATAACGGTGATTGCATTATTGGGCAACATTTAGCATGGGCAGCATTTTGCTCGTAAACAAGTAACACGGTTGAAGATAACAGGGATTTGTTTTTGTTTTTAAGAATATAATTGGCAAATACCCAAATTGTGGGTAATTAGCATTCATGCTAATGGCATGAAAACATTTTAAAATGAATTATTACACAATGTATTAAGGGTTAGCATGTTTGCCTCGCAACTCCGGGGTTGAGGGTTCAAATCCTGTGTCCACCTTGAGTGCACTGAGTTTGCATGTTCTCCCTGTGCTTCGGGGGTTTCTCAGAGTACCCTGGTTTCCTCACCCAGTCCAAGACATGCACTGTAGGCCCAAGTAACCCTGTGTAGGATAACTGTATGGAAAATGGATGGATGGATGGATAATTTACTTTGAATCCATAAATTGGGTAAAAATGCGATTTCAAAATGTCCTTGTCAGTCAATATCACAATATCAATAAAACTAAATAAAGAAGAATTAGAGAGCATTCTTCTTCCCATGATCTATAGGAAATCCAGAACTTCTTGTTGAAGATATGATTTGGGAAATATTCCCCACGTCATAGGGGTGAATGTTTTCAGCTACAGACTTGAGTAAATATTATGAAAACTAAAATGTACATTTTTCATATCCTGTAATAGTTTTTGTGGACTGGGGCAGACAAAAGTGTGATTTTCAAAGTGCTGTAAATTTTAAGTAGAGTTTATTACTGCACATAGGTGGGTGTTAAGGACATTTTACCTGTGTTTAAATGTTTTTGACCTTTCAATAACATACATATTTGTAAATGTTATATCAGTGGAACATAAATGGTACACTGATCATATAATCTCCTATAAATGTCTGCCTTCTGCTGATATGAACAGTAGAGGAGAATTTTGTTGATAACCCAGAGGGTCATGATGATGACAGCCTTCTAGGCAGATAACATCAGCCTTTACATCATGATTCCTCATGCCCAAAAGCTTCTCAGTAGATACGATTGAATCTGTAATCCTTTCAACTGGTCTGAATGGTGCTGCATTGGCAAATTCTGCGAACCCCGGTGCTAATCCAGTCTGAATCAATATACTGCTCAGTTCTCTTCAAATCATAGTGACACTGAAGAATAAATTGGATGCAGCTCATATTTTGTCAGTGCCATAGGATGGGGCGTGCCAACATCCATCATTAAAAAAATAAAATAAAATTGTTTATGCTTTCAGGAGAACATGAACAAACCTGGAGGCTTAATAGTTAACTTAGGCCTGATTAGATGATAGTTATTAAATGCCCCCTTGCCCTTCATCTCTTTATTATGCTTATAATGAGCTTGATTATAGAGGTTAATTTGGTCTCGGTTTATTGTTTCAGCTTTCCTGTCTGTGCAGTCATGCATGGCCTATTTGACATCAGTGCCAGAATTTAAATCCCAAATGCTCAGGTAAATTTGACAGATTTAGTCTAATGCATAGGGGTCAGTATTGCTGTATTGCAGGGTCTTGTTCATATATTATTCTTTGTTGTTTTAATTTTTATATTATTATTTTTTTTTTTTTACTTGACATACAGAGAAAATGTATGTGGAAATTAATCCACTTAGGAATTTTTTGAGGTGACATCATTTAGATTTGTCACTTTACTGAATCATACCTAATTTGGAGGGGCGTAACAGTATGGCATGATGTATTGATTGATATGAAGCTCTTTATTTGATATTTCTATAAATAAAAAAAAATACATTTAACAGGTTGCATAATACATGTAATTGGCACCCTGTCCAGGGTGTACCCCGCCTTGTGCCCGATGCTCCCCGGGATACGCTCTAGGTTTTCCCGTGACCCTGAACAGGATAAGCGGTATAGAAGATGGGTGGATAATAGATGTATGCATTGTGTGAGGTGAATAAATATTTACACTTAACCAAAACTGCACTCTGTCTTCTGAAAAAGTAACCTCTTCTTTATTGTGAATCAGGATAGGTTATAGGAGATTAAAACTTTTGTAAGAATGCTGTTTTCCTTAGTTAATACACAAGCATACAGCAAATAGGAAGTGGAAGTTTCCCCCAAAGGTCAGTTACAATGCTGATGGCCAGTGAGTGGTTTTAGTGAAACATTTGGTGAATCCACCTAGTTAGAGTACCATAACCCCATGCTAATATTATGACAGACATGTCTGAAATCAAGAACACACATTTCCTGGCTGATTCAATCCAGGCTAAACAAACCATCACAGAGATTAGAAAAGTGCAGGTAGAAGTGTTATGCTTGGAGAAATGACAACACTGCATTCTAGCATGAGAACTTTATCCCATCTGTGAAACATGGTGGTGGTGGTATTGTCATGGCCTGTTTTGCTGCATCTGGGCCAAGACAACTTGCCATCATTGATGGAACAATGAATTCTGAATTATACCACTGAATTCCAAAGGAAAATGTTAGAACATCATTTCATGAAATGAATCTCAAGAGAAAATGAGTCATGCAACAAGACAATGACCCTAAGCACACAAGTCGTTCTACTAAATATTGGTTAAAGATGAATAAAGTTAATGCTTTGGAATGTCCAAGTCAACGTCCTGACCTTAATCAGATATAAATGTTGTGGAAGAACTTGAAGAAATCAGTTCATGTAAGGAAACCCACCAACATCCCAAAGTTGAAGTTGATCTGTACTGAAATTCCTCCAAGCCGATGTGCTGGACTGATCAACAGTTTCCAGTTGCAGATATTGCTAGGCAAGGGGGTCACACCAGATACTGAAAGGTTCACTTTTGCCACTCACAGATATGTAATAATAGATGCTTTTCCTCAATAAATAAATGTCCAAGTATAATATTTTGCCTCATTTGTTGAATTGGGTCTACTATTAGGACTTTCACTAGGTGTGAAAATCTGATGATGTTTTAGGTCATGTTTATGCAGAAATATAGAAAATTCTAAATGGTTCACAAACTTTCAAGCACCACCGTAAAACCTTTAGGAAAGGTTACATAATGTGTATTAACAGAATATTGAACAGGAAAACATAGGACCTGGTGTTTCCAAAGTGTCCGTAGCGATGGATTTACCCCCTGTCCTGGGTGTACCCCACCTTGTGCCCCATGCTCCCTGGGATAGGCTCCAGGTTCCCCATGACCCTGAGAAGGATAAGCAGTATGGAAGATGGATGGATGGACTTATGGATAGAAAACATAAGACCTTGGGAACATATGAATGACCCCTTTCAGACACCAGTCATATCAGCAAAAGCTTGGCCAGAGAGATAATCTTTAGTTAGACATATTTATTTTTGTTACATTGTAATACATAGTATTTGTTTTATTATATGCTGCTAAGAGTCTGAACTAATGTAAAGATGTTTCTAAAGTTTTCTTCAATCATTTGTTGCTAACACAGCAACAGTTGTTTGCAATCTAATTGCTGACTGCAGCTCAAAATTTCAACACTGTAATTATTCAAGATATGCGTTATCATTCAGTTTCAGTGTGCCTTCTTTTAGCTTACCTTTTTATTGTGAAAAGAAACAAACTTGATACGAGAAAAATAGACTCCATTAATTGAGTTTCACTGCAATTTTCCATGCCTTTATGTCCACTCTGTAATTAGCTTAACCACCCTGTCATACTCAGATCCACCCAATCATTATTATTTTTAGACACAGAGTAATTACATAATGCTGTAAAACAAATCAAAGAATGAAAGCTAGTAATATTAAAATGTTGGTTAGGAAATAAAAGTATGTGTCTAAAAACAACACCCAAGTAAAGAGAAAAAACTCAACTATTTCCTAACTAGTATTTAATAATTTATTAAATTCAAAAGTTTTTAAACATTTAAAAAAAAAATTATAGTGCTTCTGAAACTGACTGTATCCTGGAAAGGCCATATCCAATATAAAATATTTTATATATGTGGCTCTATTATTTATTGGCTATGTAGTCAACTAAGACATGTTGTGTATTCCATTAATATTGGTGGCCAAAAAAACTTTCAAGATCACAGCTGGAGAATTGCAGAAGTTAGTTGAATCTTGGGGTCAGAAAGTCTCCAAAACTACAATCCAGAATCACCTACATCACCACAAGATGTTTGGAAGGGTTTCAAGAAGAAAGCCTCTACTCTCATCCAAAAACAAACTCAAGCATCTTCAGTTTGCCAGACACTACTGTAACTTTAAATGGGATCGGGTTCTATGGTCAAATGAAACCAAAGTACAGCATTTGGCAATAAACACCAGAGGTGATTTTGGTGCACACTGAGAGGTAGCCATATGGAAAAGTACCTCAGACCCACGGTTAAATATGGTGGGACTGTTTTTCTGCCAGAGGACCTGGACATTTTGTTAGGATACATAGCATCATGGACTCTGCCAGAAAGCTTAAAATGTTGGCTCTTCCAGCAGGACAATGATCCAAAACATACATCAATATCAACACAAAATGAACACAAACACAAATTGAACACAAAATCATGGTCTTGCCATGGCGATCCCAGTCCCCTAACTTGAAACCCATAGAAAATTTGTGGGGTGAACTGAAGAGGAGATTCCACTGGCTTTGGAAGAATCTGGAGAGATTCTATATGGAGGAATGGTCTCAGATCTCTTGCCATGTATTCTCCAACATCATCGGGCATTATAGAAGAAGACTCAGAGCTGTTATCTTGGTAAAGGTACATAGCATTGACTAAAAGTGTGATAATAATTGCTGCACAGCAATATTAAACAAATATTTATTTTGGACAAACCTGTCTTTTGTTTGCAATTGTTTGATATCCATGAGAGCACAGTATTTTTGCGATTCAGTATGTTTTTTAAAAAAAGATCAGAAGGTTAAACAATAAAGACAATTTTAACATTTAGGGCATTTAGCAGACACCCTTATCCAGACCAACTTACATTTATCTCATTTACACATCTAAGCAAATGAGGGTTAAAGGCCTTGCCCAAATGCCCAACAGTGGTAGCTTGGCAGTGCTGAGACTTGAACTTCTGACTTTCTGATCAGTAATCCAGAGCCTTTAACAACTGGGCCAACACTGCCAATTTTTCAAAGCCTTCTTTGCTCATATTTACCAAGGGTGCCAATATTAGTGGAGGGCACTGTGTATATTTGCAACTTGAATGTCTGCTGCTTATGATTACAAATAAAATTATATGAATATTAAGGCTTGAATATTGGATGACTGTAAAAGTTGATTATCCTCTACAGCAATTTTTGTCTTGTTCATGTGCCCCAAGATGTAGCCGGATTTTGTGGGCACTGTCATGGCTTTTTGTAGAACGCTCAGACTGATCTGAGGAGATTTCAAACAGATTAACAAAGATCTGCAGCCCCAGGAATCAGAGCCAATGGAGTACTTCTATATTCCTGGTGAACCAATATATCACCAAGACCGATATATAGGCTAATATTTGTCATTTTTAATTATCGGCATCGACCGATGAATCTTCCCATTTGGCCGATATGTGACGGCCACTTTGGCATGCAACAAAGTCTTATTCAAACACTAACGTGAGATGTCAGATCCATAGCCCAGCAGTAGCAATCAAGCCCATGGTGAGCTCCTGAGGGGCCACAGACATGCCATAAATGAATGGAAGCTGGTATGAGACCTGAACATTATATGTGATATGGTAAATTTGAATTCCGAGATTTTAAATCCATGTGCGTCCGTATTTTATTGTCCATGATTACTTTAATATCATCTATACTGTACCTTTTGTGCTCTTGTAATTATCATGCTAAGCTACATGAGGCTAATTAAGCATTTAATGGTAAAAACTATGTACCTTAACATATCAGGCCTGGCCGCAGCCCTCAAACCCATTTCTCCATTATGTCTAGCTGCGCAAGATGGAGGAGATTTTGTGGGCGTTCCTTTTGTGTTAGCCTTGTTCAACTTTGTCCCCTTCACTGCTGTGCACTACAGAAGACTGAGCGTGCTGTGCAAGCTGTCACCAATGTCATAGTGGGAGGATGTTTATTTTGGCCTGCCACATATCGAGATCAGAGCAAGCAATGGCTGCAATTCTGCCTGTCTCAACAAATGTCTAATTATAAAAGAAAAGAAATAATTAAATGCTGTGTATCATCATCCCGCCACACAAAAGGAGCAATCACCATACAAATAAAATCACAATGCGTCCATGAAGACTAGATCTCTTGCAAAAACCTGTAGGTGGTGTGATGTCTATTTTTTAACACATGACAGGCTAAAAATTCCAATGCGCGTTGATGTTAGAATAACCAAACCACTGATTAACTCTGATCCACATATATAATTCAATGTATAATTCAAATGGAAAATCCTTTTAATTCACACCAATTCACACCATTCTTTCTTTTTTTATCAGTTAAATAAAAACAAACCACTATAATGAGCGTCTGTCTGCTTGGAGGAAGGGGGCAGTAGCATTATTGACCAGGACATCTAAACTCTGTTTCATTTCAGCGCAATATTGATTAAGTCTGTCAAAAGCTATTAGCTCTACACCTGTACTTGTTTACAAGCCGAGGACTTGTTTGCCGCACCGGTGTGTATTTTTGGATCAAGGCTCTGCTTAATCCGATCAGAAAAGGACAGAAACATGATCATCACACGATCATGTACTGTCAGAATTCCTCAGATTTCACCAGATGTGAAAGACTACTTAGCATTGACTTGTTAAATGCACTACAAAAGGAGATAGGAGACTGGCTTATGGGTCTCTATGGTATGTGAGTTTGGAGATCATCCATTCATCCATCCATCCATCTTCTACCGCTTAGTCCTTTTCAGGGTCAAGGGGGAACCTAGAGTCCATCCCAGGAAGCATCGGGCACAAGGCAGGGTACACCCTGGACAGAGTGCCAGTGTTTGGAGATCAGTATTTCACCAATTTATCATTAATGGAGATTTTTTTGTTTTTTCTTACTGAAATACAAACATGTTGTAGGCACGTCCAATATTTGAGTGAAATACTAACGTGCACCCATGAAATTTCATTCAATTCAGTTGTTGTTTTTATTTTTTAATATTGAGAAATCTGGATGTACATGTATATTAAGACCCCTAATGAGTAAGCCAGAGATGACAGAAGCAAGGAGAATCTCCATGACATGACAAAAGGAAGAAACCCTTATGTTTTATTATCTTTGAATCTTAATTCATAGAATGAAATAAATAGCGGCAATTTAGTTTGAGGCCTCTGTGTTTTTCACTAGTGGCTAATACTAAATGACATTGCCAAAGTTTCTCAAGGCTAAAGTATTCATCGTCAAATCTATTCAATGGAAAAACAGGAAGAAAAAAAAAAAAAACATCCTGGTCCAAATCCTCCGTGACAAGATATACAAAACCCTCAAAAAATACAAATAAAAATCCATCACTTTAGCAGCTAATCTGCTATAAAACAGTCTCTTTGAAAATGGAGTGCTGTGATTATGCCACAGAGAATAATTATTCAGTAAGTTTTTATTAAGTACATTAACAATCACTCAAGTGGCTTTGTTTATGCCAAGACAATTATTTATTTATTTATTTTTGTAAATAAGTGCCTCGCTTTTAAACACAAGATAAATTTGAAACATCTAGTGCACAGTAGGGCGCACAGTGGCTTAGAGGTTTGCATGTTTGCCTCACATCTCCAGGGTCGGTGGTTCGATTCCCACCATATCCCTGTGTGTGCAGAGTTTGCATGTTCTCCCCGTGCTCCGGGGGTTTCCTCTGGTTCCTCCGGTTTCCTCCCCCGTTCCAAAGACTGGTACCTGATGCATGGTAGGCTGATTGGCATGTCTAAAGTGTCTGAAGTGTGTGAATGTGAATGTGATTGTGTCCTGCAATGGATTGGCACCCTGTCCAGGGTGTACCCCGCCTTGTGCCCGATGCGTCCTGGGATTGGCTCCAGGTTCCCCGTGACCCTGAAAAGGATAAGCGGTATAGAAGATGCATGGATGGATACTACACAGTAGACTAACTTTGGAACTAGTTGAGAATCAGTTATTTTTCCTGAATTGTCTTCTTGTGAATTGTTCGTGCACATGTTGTGAGGTGTGCCGCGACTTGAGACAAGCTACTGTTACCACCCTGAAGTTGATTATTTTCCTCTAACATATGACCTGAAGTGTTTTATTCCTCATATACCACATTTATTAAATAACACCATGTTATGTTTTTTTTTTCCCCGTGGTTACATTTTACATTTCCTCAGGTTCCATTTATTCCTGTTACTTATAAGCTGTCATTCTCTCAACAACTTTTCTTTTCAAAAATGCAGCTTGTCATTTTTCCTTCATGTTAGAAAACAGCTTTACCTCCGACTTATAAAAAGCACTGACACACTTATTTATTTATTTATTTATTTATTAAAAAACACCATGTTCTTAAATCTAATTAGACTAATCAGATTCAAGACTTTAAGAACATGTTTGTGACATTTTAAGTTTCATTCCATAAATTACTAGTTAGTTGCTCTTGTGCAGTATTTGAACAGGAGTTGTGGTGCTCAGCAGGGTTGCCAGGTTTGCATAACAGTATGTAGCAGGAGGGATGGGAGTGGTAAGCGTGGGTTTGCGCTGGGAGATGGAAGTGTCTGAGGACGAGGTAGGGAGGTAATGACTAACATGGCACACCTGAGAACTGTTATCCCTCTTGTTCTTATGTTCGTTCTCTCTCTCTCTCTCTCTCTCTCAGCAGTGAGCTGAACACGTGTGTGTGAGTTAGTGAACAGGTGCAAACCAAGCAACAGAAGTGGTAAAAAAAGCTGTTTTGTTTTCTTTGAGTTGCCAATAATCGGCAGTGCCAAGGGACATAACATAATAAAATCTCATATCACTGAGTTGTGTGCTGTTTAAATTATCCCACTAATCAAACCCTCAATATAATTTCCTCCACACATATTGCAATGTTTTAGTACAAGTAACAATTAAACCAATTCACCGACATTCAACATGCACAATTTCAAAAAGATATATATATATATATATATATCTTATATATAGATGTGACATATATATATATATACATGTCACATCTACAAATACACATAAAGAACTTATTTCCTGGACATAACTAGAGTCATATATGAAACAATGACCCCAGAGCATTTTTAGGTTAGGAGCCTTGCTCAATGTCCAACAGTCGCAGCTTGGCGGCACTGAGATATGAACCCATGACCCTCATGATCAGTAGACCAGAATTTTAATTAAGGAGCAACCACTGCTTACTATAAGTCTGTTTTTTTATTATTATTATTATTTAATTTACATTTACCTTAGATATACCAGCGATACACCATTTGTACCAATTTTATTTGTATAGCGCTTTTTACAACAGACATTGTCTCACAAAACACAGCTTTATAGAAATATTAAGACTTATCCAACTGAGCACTGAGGTGATTATAACTGAGGTTTTATTTTTTTTTTTTCCAACACAGGATGGATAGTATATATGAAGAAAGAATTAGAAAAATGTAGCCTGGTCCAGTTTCAATGATCCTGTACTGTAGCCTCAGATTCCTGTTCTTGGCAGACTAGAGTGGAACCCGACATGGTCTTCTGCTGCTGTAGCCCATCCTCCTCAAGGTTTGACCTATTTGCAATCTGAGATGCTTTTCTGCTCACCACGATTGTAAGAAGAGGTCATTTTGTTTTCTGTAGACTTCCTGTCAGCTTAAACCTTTCTAGCCATTCTCCCATGACCTCTCTCATCGGTTTCTGCTCACAAGACTGTTGGAAGTGTTTTAGCATTTTCTGTAAACTTTGTATTAAAGATGCCAGTATACATAAATCAAGTTGTCTATGTTTGTACGCATTCAGAACATATCTATTAGATTAATGCTGATAACACATTTAAGAGGAATTATTTCGCCATTTTTGGTCACTAAACATGACCCGTTACCTAAAATGAGTTTGACACCTCTACTCTAGAATGAGGAAGACATCTGAAGAGATGATATGCACAACACAGGGGAAAAAAAAAACTCTGAAAAAAAAGAAAAGTATTTGCTTCTGATTCTTTTGACATGAGCATCAGTGGTTAATGTAAAATTTGTGCATTG